CACTTAACCCCAAATGCCTAAAAAAAAAAAAAGGCAAATTGTATAGAAAAGAAATTCATAGTTTCATATACAGTCTTCTTTTGTTCTGTTTTGTATTTGGGCCCACGCCCTCCCCACCCTCTTTTTTTTTGTTTATTAAGTTCATAACAACAGCAGAATCTACTCATGAGTAGTTGTGCTTGTGAACTCTCGCTTATTCCTCAAAGAATTTTTCTTCTTAAAGTATTAGCTTTCTTGCTCTTCTCCTTTCTTCTGTTGTGTCTTTTGGATTTATAGGAAAAAGACAAATCAATATAAAGTTAGTAAGATAATTGAGCAAGTTAAAACCTAGTTCAGAACCAGAAGTTGTCATTAATCGTTTGTTAAGCACTTCCTATGTGCCAAGTACTGGGCTAAGCACTGAAGACACAATGGCAGCAAAATAGCTCCTGCCCTTGAGGAATCTAACGGGGGAGATGGCACGAGCAGACAACTAAGATAAATTGGAAATAATCAGCAGAGGGAAAGCACTAACATTAAGGAGTATCAGGATAGGCTTCTTGCTAAAGGTGGAATTTGAGCTGAAATTTAAGAGGAAGCAGGAAAATGAGTTCAGTTTTGAACGTGTTGGTTTAAGATGTCTATGGGGACATCTACTTTGAGATGTCTAAGAGGCCTTTGGAGATGTGACTGGAGGTCAGGAGTGAGGTTAGGACCAAGTAAAGAGATGTGATAATCATCCAAAAAAGCTATTAGTACCCTCTTCTATATGACTGAATGTTTCTGAAATGTGTATTCAGCCTTTCCTTTGTCTGGGCTAAATACCTACCAAGCTAATAGCCCGTCATTAAGAATACTCTCCTATAATCATTTTAAAACATTATTGTAGCTTTCCTTTAAATCCTTCCCAAGTTTTGCATCTGTAATTATAGAGATCAGAATTGCTCATAACCCTTTAGTAAGAAGGAATGCAGGTACTGAAGAACTATATTTAGTATTTCAGTTTTATCATTCTGTTACCATGTCATCTTTATAAGTAAATTCATAACCTTTTTGTTTTTGAAACTGATTGTTTTCAATGTATGTAAAATATATTGGTACTAACTGAGCTCTTTTTGCAGGGTGATCACGTGAATACACTTCCACCTCTAGGCTTTCAAGTTCTTTGGATTTTTTTTTCTTTCTTGGCAAAATTTCTGAATTAACTTAAAATTTTGTTTTGCAAATGATGTCAATATTTAGAGAATCATAGAATTTTATAACTGAAAGGGACTCCTTTTTAAAGGCATTTGAAATTGTTTTATACAAGTGTTATAAAAATAAGCAGGAACTTTTCTAATTATTTCTAGAAATTTCTCAAAATGGATTAAATGAAGTACCATTGCAAATCACTGCCTTTGAGATTGTATCACTTCTCTAGCCCTAACATTTAGTTGAGTTGTAAGTATGTAATGAATAATTCATACATAATTAAATTAATATTAGGTAGCATCATAAATTTTAAATAGGTTTTATACTGAGTCTTCTCAGATTCCACATTTATATGAAGAAAAATCTGTTAGTATAGCTACAAAAGTGACCAGCTTTGGTCAGGTTGACCTTGGCTTCTCTCTTTTCAATCAGTCTTCTAGTTGTTACAGTTGTACGGTTGTTACAGTACAGGGAAAAGGTCTGTCACAAAGAGCCAGGGCAAAAAAACAAAATCTGGAAACATCCAGAATTCATTTCCCAGACATGTGCTCTTCTTGGTGTTACCTTCTACAGTAATAGGGAAGATAGGAGAGGTTGGGTTTAGGGAACGATAACAAGTTCCATTTTGGACATACTGGGTTTAAGATGTCTGAAAAGCAGTTTGAGGTGCAGAGTTGGAGGTCAGCAGAGAGGTTGGGTCAGGATACGTAGATTTAAGAATCATCAGCAGAGAGGTGGTCATTAAATCTGTGGGAACTGATGAGATCATCAAGTAAAGTAGTATAGAAGTAGAAGAGAAGAGGGCCCAGGACAGAGCCCTTAGGGACACCTCTAGTTAGAAGGCGTGATCTGGATGAGGATCCAGCTAAGGAGACTGAGAAGGAGTGGTCAGATAAATTGCAGAAAAGGAGAAGTGTCCCAGAAACCTAGAGAGAAGAGAGTATTAAAGAGGAGAGAGTGATTAACAGTGTCAAAGGCTGCAGAGAGGTCAAGGAGAATGAGGACTGAGAAAAAGCCATTAGATTCAGTAACGAAGAGATCACTGGTTACTGAAGAGCAGTTTCAGTGGAATGAATGAGGTCAGAAATCAGATTGTAAGAGGTTAAGAAGAAAGTGAGAGGAGAGAAAGTGGAAGCATTTACTGTAAATGGTATTTAGCTTCAAAGAGCAGATGGGATAGAGGACAATAGTTAGTGTGATAGAAGACTCTAGTGAGGGTTTTTTCAGGATAGCAGAAACATGGTCATGTTTGTAAGCAGTAAGGAAGAAGCCAGTAGAGAGGGAGAGATTGAAAATAAGTGGTGGAGTGTAGATGACAGTTGGGGCAATCTGTTGGAGGAGATGGGATGGAATGGGATCACTTGGAAAAGTAGAGGAGCTAACCTTGGTGAGGAGGAAGATTTTGGGGTCAGAGGACCTGGCTTAGGATTCCCATATTTGTGGCTCGGGACAAGCCATTTATCTACTCTGCATCTCTAGCTTCCTTATCTGTAAAATTAAAATATTGAACTCAGTGACTTCTGAGGACCCTTTTAGCCTGAAATCTGTAATCTTGATTTTTTAAAAAAAATTATCTATTTTTTATTTATTTATTTTTAGTTTTCAACATTCACTTCCATGAGATTTTGAGTTCTAAATTTTCTCCCCTTCCCTCCTTTCCCGCCTCCCTAAGACAGTGTGCAATTTGATATAGGCTATGTATATAATATATATAAAATATGTATTTTTTATATATAAAATATATACATATATATACATGCATACATTCATATTAAAGATATTTTCACATGTCATGTTGTAAAGAAGAATTAGAACCAATGGGAGAAACCACAAGAAAGAAGAAACAAACAAAAAGAGCAAATAGTATGCTTTGATCTGCATTCAGACTCCATAGTCTTTGAAAGCTGTGATCTTAATGTATATTTGTACTTTAAAAATTGAATGCTGAAGAAAAAATGGGTGAGTACATAAAAAAAAAGGTTTAAAAATACTTCTAACTGTCGTTCTTCTGGTCATTAAGCAGTTATTAAATATTCTGTTCTCTATTCTGTTCTAGGGAACACAAAATGTTAGGACAGGTGATTGAAATATTAATTAGTATACAGTCATTATTTTAAAATAGTCGGATTCCTTCAGGGTAGGCCATGAGGTAATAGAAGAAGAACTAGATGAACATCATTGCCTGAGCACATTGCCTTTTATTTGTGATATGTTATACATAGATAGAAGAATATTCCTCCTTTCTCACTTTCAAATCAGGATATTTAATTCCTCTGGGCAAGTTAGTTTTTGTTAAGCAAAAATATTTGTTGCCACTTATATCGCTTATCCTGCTTCTGTGCAGGACTTTTTCCTCTTACTACATTTATATACCTTGTTAATTCAGCCATTCCTCAGTTGATGAGCACCCCCTTTATATCAGAAAATGAACCTAAGGAGGGGCTACTAATTGGGGAGTGCCTGAATTAATAAAGCAGTGAAAGTGAAATGGAATTTTATTGCACTGTAAGAAATCACAAAAGGGACAATTTCAGAGGAATCTGGGAAGAAAAATATGAACTGACAGTGAAGTGAGCTGAATCAGGAGAGAAATACCTATCTTTTTCGAGGCAATCTTGAAGCCTTTCTAAGTAATCTTTTACCGGTTTTTAATTTTTCTTAGGAATTCATCTTATTTATCCCTACAAATGCTTTGTTTTTTTCTCTCTGGCCCTAGTGTGTTTCATATTGGAGGAAAAGGACTGATCTTCTGTAGTAATGTGTTAATGTACTGTTGAACAAATTCATGTCTTCCCTGATATTATGAGGCAGTGTGACCCACGTGTTATTTGTAACCACCTAAGGGTTGCGTGCGACTGTTCCTTTTCCCTGTTCTTTTCAATTAACATACATGTTTGTTTATTATTATTTCTATTTTTTCCCCAAGAAAATGTTATCTAAATGGAGCACCCCCTCTAGGGTGATACTCCTAACCCAGACTAACTCTCTTGGGTTGGGTTAAGTTCTCAGGGTATAATTAGCTCCCCTTCAAAGCCACCTGGCAGATGGCAAGGGTTGGGAAGGTGAGGAAAAAGATTTCCAGGTCTCTTTCACAAGTAGTTCTGGGCCTGAAATCCCACTCTGAGATGACTGAAATTCCTTTAGGGCTTAGCTATTTAAAGCCCTCCCCTCTCCCACATAGGTGGAGCTAATTTATTTGCTCAGTTGATTCTCTTGTTGCTTTAACTGTCAGAGAAGTGTTCATTAAGGGATCAGGGCAGTGTATTTTTACCGTTTGTTTTACATCTTATTTTAATGAACACCTTGTAATGGTATTCTGGGCCTTGTGTGACTACCATCACCTGAAGTGGCAGATTCCTCCCTTATGTTCACAAACTATTATTTACCTTCAGGGGGATGTAGAAGGTATTGTAGTTTTCCTGGTCACATTTTGAAAGTCATTACATTTGAGTTTGGCTTATTATTATTTCTATTACTAATAATAATAATTATGCTTATGATTTTCATATTATACCATACATTCCCTGGTTTCTACTAAAAGTATTTGTGAATAATCTGGATTCTATTTCGTGGGCTTCTGATCATGTGATTGGTCACCTAGAATCCTTGGAAGGTTGAGGAAAAATCTTTTACTTTTGCTAGTCATGTGCAGTCATCTTTAAAAATAAATTATTACTGTAATCTGAAGTCTTCCTGGTTTTAAACCAGAATTCATTTTAAAATTTAAATCTAAACTACTTTACCAAAGGGGAACGACAGTTTCTTTTGAAACATTTGAGAAAATCCTAAACTGTCCTACTGTTGTTTGTTTTTCCACCTCTTGCTTGAAGGGATCTTCCGGGAATTTGGAGGTGCGAGGTGTGCCCACAATATTGTCAAGTATCCTCAGTGCAGACAGCATGCCCTGATGATCATTCAGCAACTGGTGCTCTCTCCTAGTGGGGATGATGATATGGGTACTCTCTTAGGGTTGATGCATTCTGCTCCACCCACTGAATTACAACTGAAAACTGACATTTTAAGGGTAAGTTTGGAAAGTCCTGTCTTTATTCTTTCACTGCAAACATCTTTCATTCTTTTTAGTTAAGTAATTTCATTGCCTTTAGGAGTGGACTGAGATTAACTTTTCAGATAGTGGTGAGGGCCATTGTGTAGAATTCAGTTGTTTTAAAGGACCAATGTTGCATCACATTGCTGTGGGAACTGGACTTCATCCCTCAGTAGGAGACATTACTCCGTAGGTAATTACACCATTCAAGAGTATGTAGGGGATTAGTCTGTCCCAAACATACAGTCAACCTAGGGCTTGTTGACAGAAACAAGGATTGTGCCCTCTGACTTAGGGTGGTACTGACCTTGACTTTTGGTGTTTGTTTCTTATGCATTGACTTTGTTTACTTTCTCATTATGCTTTTATATGTTGGTCTGCCATTGACTGCTTTCCTCTTCATAGATCACTTTGTCAAAGTCTTCCCACCTTTCTCTGAACTTTTAATATTCACCATTCGTGATGGTATAGGAATACTCCCTTTCATTGCTAGAACTCGTTTATCCATTCCTGATAGCTGGTCACGAACGGTGCTACTATGAACATTTCTGTGTATGTACTTTCTCTCCTGTCTGACCTTCTTAGGGTGTAGTGTTAGAATTTGAATCTCTAGGTCAAATGGCCTGCATGATTTATTAATTTTCTTTGCATAGTTCCAGAATAGTTGAGACAGTTCACAGCTTCAGGACAGTGACTTATTGCTACTGTTGTCTCCATATCCCTGTAACAATATTCCTAAGCATTGTGTATGACAGTTCTTAGCACTGCTTGGGAGGAACAGATTACAGAGGAGGAGAATGACTCCCTTTTTCAAAAACTTCTATAAAAATAAAGACATGATATTGTTGATTTTTTTAATGTTAAACTGAAATTGTTGTCTTAAAGACCCACCTATCACTTCCTTTTGTTTCTTTTAGTTAAATTCCCATCTGTGGTGAGATAGAGTTTATCCTATTTTTGATTTATTATATTCTACCTTCCAACTTGACTAGAACAGAGAGAAATACCAACTTTGAAAGAAAATGTTAATTTAAAGTAATAACATCTAACTTTATTAGCACTTTTAAAGTTTTGGAAACTTTTGCATATATTTTCTCTAGCAAGCTTGTGAGGTGTAGGTGCTATTGTCTTTTTTTTTTTCCTATAGCTTGGGAAACTGAGGCTGAGAGTGACTTGCTCAGGGACATACATTTGGTCATTTTCTGTGGCAGGATCTCACCACAGATAGTCCTGACTCCAAGTTTAGTGCTTTATCCACTATGGTACTTTGTACCTCCAGCTAGATGAATTTCATTTTGATTCGTTCCTAGGAAAGTGAACAAGTCCAAATTGGTGTCAACATTTAGGAATATTTGCAAATTTGAAGTAATTTACTAGCAGTAATTTAAGCAGCAAAGGGCAGCAGATGGTTTTCAAAAGGTTGAAGAATCTGCTTGTTCCAGCCACATTTGTGTTTGGAAAACAAAGTGGTCTCAACATGCAGCCTGAGGGTACATTGATTTCCAGAGGTCATGGTGCTGTGCATTTAGAGCTCAAAGGGCCTTTGGAGGAGATCATTTCCTCCAACCCCCTCATTTTACAGATTGGGAAACTGAGCCCTAGGAAGTGAAGTCACACAAGGAGGAAGTGTCAGGGACAGGATCTGAACCCTGAGCGCTCCCCTTCCCAGTCCAACCCTCTTTCTACTCTTGTTAGAAGTACTAGTGAAAGGCCTCCGGCACACTGGGAGAGTCCTCTCTGGGTGCATGGGAGGATAGGAAGTCACAGAAGTCTTGGATTCTGTGGGTGTGATCATGCTGCTGATATCAGAGGTCCATCAAAGCAATGAAAGAAAATAAACAAGCCAAGTTTGACTGGGGTAGAGGCAAACTGGCACTGAGGCGGTTGGCAGTTCTGTGCAGTTTTGTTCTCACCTTCTTTCCCCTCTTAGGTGTGGGTCCATAGGCAGGGGCGGCAGTGTCAGGGGTGTGGTTGAGAACGCTCTTCCAAACTGCGGTGTGAGATCAGGAAGAACTTGGGTAATTTTTAAATGTGTTAGTGTAAGCAAATGCATTGCAGCAGATATTGCCACTTTCTTTAAATATACTTCTCTAATATGAGGGATGTAGCTACTTTTCCTCTCCCTTACAAAGGAGGGACATTTCTTTGAAATTGTTTTTTAAATATTTAATAAATAATTGAGACTTCACCCGTTAAAGTCATAGTGCTGCTTCAAATCTTGAGGTGGTGGTGCTAGCCTTGATTCTCAAAGCTTCTGCCAGTACAATGTACTCTGGCCTGGTTGATGCGCCGATGTTGGAGAGATTGCTAGCATGGCCTGGGCCACGGTCTGTGTTTGTCTGTCAGCCTGTCCTCCAAGGACCAGCTTAGCTGAATTCATGAGTCTTAACCTTAAGAGGCTGAGCGAGGAGTGATTTTGTTTTTCCTCTTTGGCCACAATGATTCATAGAGACCATTTCCTAAGGTATTAATTAGGAGGGATGTGACCTGTGCTGATGGAGGAAGTAACCACAGCAATGAAGTCCCAGGCCCTTGAAGCTTTTGAGGTGAGTGATAGTGGGGAGAGGGAAAGAGAAAGGCAGAGAGACAGCAAAGATAGCTCAGACGAACTGCAGTTATTTAATTATTTTAAAGATACTTCACATTATGCAAGTACTCAGGCAGTATTAATAAATAGATTCATTGTGTCAGAATGAATGGTATGTCTGCTACAACTACATTTTACCTGTTTTTTTTTTAATTAAACTATTAACCACAATATTTGGTATCTGTAGACATGTATATTGGGTCACCTATGAATCTGAGTGTAGTCATCATAAAGCTCATCAGTTTCTGCTTTCCCCCAAATCCTCCTTTCTTTCCAACTTTGCTATTACTGTCAAAAGTACCAACACCCTCCCAGGCTCAGGGTCTGCATATCATCCTTGATCTTATTCCTCTTCCATGTGCACTCCAAATATCCAGTCTGTCATGAGGTCCTTTCTGCCATCACAGCATCTCTCACAGGTCCCCTTCTCTTTGCTCACCCAGCTTTTGCCTGGGGCCTGTGCTGGGCATGGCCTAGGCCGCAGTCTGTGGTTGTCTGTCATCGTTTCATACCTCCACTACTGCAGGCACCATCTCTGGGTCTCCCTTCCTCTTTTATACTTTATTCCACTCTAGGCACACACAGACCTGCTTGCTGTTCTTTAAACATGGAGCTCCTGGCTCCATGTCTTTTCAGTGGCTAGCTCCTGTGGCATGAATGTTTTGTTTTTGTTTCTTGCCTCTGCTTACTGGCTTCCCTGGCTTCCTGCAAGACTCCGCTCAAATTCCACCTTCTGTAGGATGCCCTTCCTGGTCCCCCTCCCCTCCCACTGCTTATCCCTTCACTCTACCTTCCATTTCGAATGTATATATCTTGTATGTGCATAGTTATTTGCATGTTGTCTTCCCCATTAGAAAGTGAGCTCTTTGAAACGAGGCACCTTGTTTTTGCATTTCTGGTATCCTCGGCTCAAGTACTTAATAGATGTGTATTGACTGACTGACTTTTTCCTGCTCCTTATGTCACAAATCAACACCTATTTTTATTTATTTATTTAGTATTTTATTCTTCCCCAGTTACATGTAAAAACAGTTTTTAACGTTTGTTTTTAAAACTGTGAGTTCCAAATCCTCTCCCTAACTCCCCCCTACCCTCCCCTTGTTGGGAAGGCAAGCAGTTTGATATAGGTTATACATGCATAGTCATGCAAAACATATCCATAATAATCACGTTGTGAAAGAAAACATAGACAGAAAAAACCCTCAAGAAGAAGAAAGAAAGGAAAACAAATCTGTATTCAGTCTGTATTCAGACACCATCATTTCTTTCTCTGGCTATGGATAGCATTTTTCATCCTAAGTCCTTCAGAGTTGTCTTGGATCATTGCATTGCTGAGAACAGCTAAGTCATTCACAGCTGATCATCTTAAAATATTGCTGTTACTTTGTACACAGTACATTTCACTTTGCATCAGTCTATGCAAGTCTTTCCAGGTTTTTCTGAGAGCATCCTATTTATCATTTCTTATAGCACAGTAGTAATACATCATAATCACATACCACAGCTTGTTTAGCCATTCCCCAGTTGATGGGCATCCCCTCAGCTTCTAATTCTTTATCCCCAGAAAAGAGCTGCTATAAATATTTTTATACATATAGGTCCTTTTCCTTTTTGTTTTTTAATCTCTTTGGGGATACAGACCTAGTAGTTCAACCCCTACTCTTAACTTCACTGTTTCTATTAACACTGCCTGTCCACTAATCTATCTGAATAGAAATTCCCACTTAACCTTTGATTTCTCTTCCTTTATTTAAAGCCTTCAGTTATTTGCCATGGTATACAAATTCTATCTACAATATCTGTCTTGAATCTGTCTCCTCCTTCGCATTTCTATTGCCACATCTTGGTTCAAACCATCATCATAACTTTCTTTTGATAATTACATTACTCTCAATTCCTGGCCTTGTCTAAATTCTCACTCCTTTCAGTTCATCCTGCACACTATTGCTGGAGTATTCTTGTCTTATAGAAGCTTCCTCTGCTAAAAATATTCAGTGGTTTCCAATTCAGTCTGTCTTCTTGCATATTTGTGTTTCTCAGCCAGACATTCACAGTCTTCCATGATACACACTCAACCTCTATTTTCAGTCTTATACCCTATTAGGCACATACATGTATCCTACACTGTAGCTGAAAGCATTGGTTTTGGCTCTTCTCCAAGTTACATGTTGTACCCTTCTGCATCTGCCCTTTCCTCATGTTCTTCTGCCCTTTCTGCTATTGCCATCTATCAGAATGTGATCATCTTCCCAGGATCATCTCAGAGACCTTTCTGAAACCCCCAAACCACACATGAGTTCTTTATCCTCTAGACTCCTTAGATATTTGCATATTTTTTTTCTTACTTGCACTGATTAACTGCTTTTCTAGTTGCTTACTTGTCTTATTTAGTACTGAACTTGGAATCAGAGAGACCTGAGTTCAAATCCCACTAGAGACTTACCTGACTATGGAAAATCATGTAACTTCTCACATCCTATGTTTTCTCATCTGTGAAATGGTGCTAATAATTCCTGTAACACGTAAGATTGTTGGGAGAATCCAGTGGGATACTATGTAAAGCGTTTTGCACACCTCAAAGTGCTATCTATATAAGCTTAAGCTATTATTATCTGACCAGATGGTGCCTTGACTATAAGGGATTGTTTTATTTTTGAATCACCACATCGTTTGTCTCTAGGTGTTCAGTTGATGTTTGTTGAATTGAAACTAGGAGGAGAATTCCTTAGTTCATCACACGACATTGCTTCTTTTCATTTCTCTATTTCATGGTGGTGTTTTTGTATTTTTATAGGCTCTCCTCTCAGTTTTACGAGAGAGTCATCGCACAAGAACAGTTTTTAGGAAAGTTGGAGGATTTGTCTACATTACATCTTTGCTCGTTGCCATGGAAAGATCTTTGAGCTGTCCGCCCAAGAATGGCTGGGAGAAAGTGAATCAGAATCAAGTCTTTGAACTTCTCCACACTGTTTTCTGCACATTGACTGCAGCAATGCGTTATGAACCAGCTAATTCTCATTTCTTCAAAACAGAGATCCAGTATGAGAAACTGGCAGATGCTGTCCGATTTCTTGGTTGCTTTTCAGACTTAAGGAAGATAAGCCCCTTAAATGTTTTCCCCTCAAATACCCAACCATTCCAGCGACTCTTGGAAGATGACTTAACATCCATAGACTCTGTCTCGCCCACATTACGGCACTGCAGTAAACTCTTTATTTACCTCTACAAAGTAGCCACAGATTCCTTCGACAGGTAAGGTTCTACTTTTTTCTGTGAATTCAGCTGTTGGGAGTGCATGGACTCAGTAAATTTTGATATGTTTAAGCAATCACCATTTATTTTAATCTTTTTAGGATTTCTATCCCACCTACTTTCAAAAGACAGACCAACTTCGCAGTCTACCTTGCTGGTAAATGTCCCTGGTGTTCTGATGTCACTTGGTATCCGGTTGACATTGTTAGAGTGCCCCTTACTTCCCCCATGGGTGCAGATCACACCCTTTGCCCCTACAAGCAGTTTCAAGAGCTGCTGTGGCCAGCCAAAGCCTTCTTCACCTGGGAGCCAGCCCTGTTCTGGGGAGCTTCTCAGAAGCTAGTGAGTGTGCTCCTTAGGCAACAGCCACGTACACGTGCTGTCGCCACTCTGGAGCTCAAAGCCTCTGTAACTTTTATAATGGGAAGTTTTACTTGTTCACATAGTTTCCAGGTGCTCAATCTCTCTTCTGTGCCCATTATGGATATCACATTAGGAGTTTAATTGAGGATAAATTAAAAAAAAAATCCCAAACTATCTGATTATCCTAGTGTGATATCCATAAACCCAGTTACGTATGGTTAACATTGCACTGCCAAGAACTATTAGATATTATGTGCTCTCACTGTATAATTTGCAATTAGATTTTTAATTCCTTTATCCTCATAAGAGTGTCTGCACCTGAAAGGCCATGGGTGTGAAACATTACATAGATTGTCAGATTTTTCTGATAGATTGGTTGGTATTACACAACTTTCTTTTCTTTTCAAAAAAACAATTTTATTATAAGCATTGTGTCTCGGGGGGGTGGGGAGAAAGATACAATGGGCAATATAGTGGATGTGAAAACAAAAGATAAGAAAACTATTTTAAAAAGAAGAATTACACCTGAGCTTAATAATTCTGATTGGCAGATGGAAAATGATCATCTTCATGAAAATTATTCTTGATGACTTTCTCTTTTTTCATTTTAATATCTTATTAAAGTAGGATATTAAATGCCTATTATGATATACTTTGAAAAATTACACCAAGAATATGGGTTCTGAGAAGAATGTTAAGTTTAAAGGTTACAGGGTTAAGGATTGTAATAAGAAAAAGTATAACTATATAATATTTTAAAACATCTCAGTTCTTAAATTATCTCTTTAATTAAAATCTCCTAAAAATAACATAAAAGGAATGACATTGCCACTTTTTCTAATTATTATCACCATCTGCCTAATGGTTATTATGTTTTTATTTGGCAAAATAAAGGAGTTGTTTCATTATTTTTTACGTAATCAGTACCAGATAACCTTGATAAATGACCTCAGTTTTGAACATTTGTTTGTTAGCTAATTTTCAAGTTACAGTTTCTATTGGAAACTGTAATGACTTTTTAAATACTAACTCATTCTTGAAGGCCTCCCAAGTGCTAAGATATAACTGAGCCTTTAAACTGTTTAAATAGGTATGTTTGTGAATAACCCAGATATAGTAAAATTACCATGTTAGTTTTTCATTTATTTTTCTAAAAAAAAAAATCCAGAAATGCCTTTGATTTAACAATAAAAGGCTTAAATAAAACATAGTTTTGAAAAAATAATTCATATATTATTGACTTTGTGTTTAGAACACTATAATCCCATTATCTACTCAGGTTGTAGTTCATTCATGTTCAGACTTGACTTTTTTTTTCTTCTCCGTGATAAGATTCCTCATTTCTTATCATAGTTTGGCAAAAGGAAATTTTAGACATAACATTATTATTAAGTAAATAGAGAGCTCGCTACAAAGTCTGGGAAAACCTCTAATACTTTAAATGGCATGACCTGTGCCAATCTCTTTTGGTAAAACGTTCCTTACTAGGACCTCCCATATATATATTCATAATAGGAAATGGAAAATATGGTAGGTAAAGTGGAATTGCTTTGTGGAACCGTGCCATGCATGCTTTCCTTTTCCATGTGATGTGTGTATTATAGTAATGTTCTTTGTTGTTCTTGTTGGGTATAAAAAGTGGATTTGATTAAGCTTTTACTGATATTCTTGTACAACTAACTAACCTCAGACTTCTCCTGCCATTTTCTAACCCCCTAAACCCCAATGTCTATTTTGTTACCTGTAGTCATGCAGAACAGATCCCTCCTTGCCTGACAAATGAGTCTTCTCTCCCCTCTCCTTGGGGTACGCCAGCTGTGTCCAGGAAAAGGTACTGACCACATGAGAGCAGGGAGTGCGTCTCCTCGGCTCCTTTTCCTTGCTCCCTTTTGTGTTTGTCTTACTGCTGTTGGGGCTAGAGGACGTGCCGCTTCTCTCCTTTTTTGTCTGTTCATTTCTTTGCCACTTTTTCGCTTATAAAGCCAGTGGTTCTGAACCAGAAATGTGATTTATAGCATCAGGGACATGCAGTCATTTGTAAATACACAGAATTATTTAGACAAACTGTATTTCATTTTTTGAGCAGCCATGTTTTGTTTGAAGTGAATGAGGAATTGGAACTTAGGGTCCATTTGAATTATTAAAGCGTTTGCTCAATGCCTCACTTTTTCCCCTCTGTCTTTGAAAGTTTGCTTTGTATATGGTTGTACCAGAGCAAGAGAGCAACACCGCATGCATACACACTAAATGTGGGGGAAGGGGAATATGGTCATGCCTTGGTTCTTTCAAATTTTTAACAAACAGAAGTTTTAATGTAGACATTTAATCAGTTAGGCTCAATCAGCTTTCCTATATTGTGCCATCAGAAGGTTTGTTCGACTAAAATCTGTGAAAAATGAATCCTGAGGTCAGTTTCTGAGATGAGTTTAGTTGTTTACTTTCCTACCCTGTCCTTTTTGATATCTTTATTTGAAATATTAGTCCAAATTATGTATAAAGCTTGAAAACTAAGTTGAAGGATAAGTGAGTAATTAATTAAAGGTATATATTGAAACATATTTGGGGCAGCTAGGTGGTAAAGTGGATAGAGTGCCAGGCCTGTAGTCAGGAAGACTCCTCTTCCTGAATTCAAATCTAATCTTAGACACTTATTAGTTGTGTGACCCTGAGCAGTTGCTTAACCCAGTTTGTCTCAGTTTTCTCATCTTTAAAATGGTCTCGAGAAATAAATGATAGACCACTCCAGTATCTTTGCCAAGACCCCAAATGAGGTCATGAAAAGTTGGACACAACTAAAAATGACTGAAATATTTGAAACCTACTTTGGAAGAGGAAAAAAACAAACTCTACAATCTTTACAACTTAATCATAGAAATCTCTTTCTTCTTGTCCAAGTGAAACTTCTGACGTTTTACAGGAAAAAAAAATGCTTTTCTTTCCAGGAATCTTGGGGCTTTGTTACATTGAAGCATAATCTCATTTATACCTCCCAGGCATTACAGTATGAGGTTAATTGGAAAGAGTGAGTCAAGTTTATGACAGCTAACTGATTTTGTTATCACAGTGGAAGATTAGGAGAAGAATGCCATATTAATAGGGGCTGGTGTTTTGCTTATTTGTTGACTCTTGCCACTACGAACAATGCTTTTCTACTTTTCATTTTGGTACTTTGTCTCAGTCTTAGTCTTATTCCTTTCCATTGGCATGTGTCAGAAGACAAGGATGACCTAAGAGGGAAAGTGAATGTTGAATGAAAATATAGCCCTCCTAAGCTCAGGTAGTGAGTAGGAACCATGTAATATTGTGCATCTTTGCATGTTTTGAGAGGCAGTGTGGTGTAGCAGATAGAGCACCGCACAATACCGGCTCCCCCTGCCCCACTGCAATCCCTAACATAATATGGTGGCAGCCTGCTCTATCACATGTGAATTAAGCCTTAACATTACTAGATCACATTTTCTGTTCAATGTCTGAGTACCCAAATTCCTTAGCCATCATGATAATTTTTCTTGTGTTCATTTTTTCCCATGGCTCTCTTCTATTTACCAGTCCCAGCCCACCATACTTTAGTGAAGTCTGATTCGTCCCTGGAACTTTGTCACTTTCCACCTCAAACAAGGGTCAAGGAGGAAACAGTCTTTGTGGTTTTCTTTAAGTCATCAGGCATATTATCTGACTTGACGTTCTGGGTCAAGGGCTAAATTCTTGCCCAGGCTTACTTCTCATGCTGTTGCCCAACCTTTGGCCATCAGAATAGTTCTCACCTGCCTTTTCTGCTTCATCATATATTTTTGTTATGTACTCAGTATTCTAACTCAGCCACACTATTGCATATTTCCTGCTGCTGGGACTTGCTTAGAACATGCTGTACCTTGTGTCTGGAATGATTTCCCCGCTTATCTCTTCCTACTAAAATCTTTCCCATTCTGCAAAGCAAAGCCCTGCTTAGTTGGTCAATCAGCAGAGTGCTGAGGATACTTTTTCTCCCTCTCTCCTTCCCCCAAAATGAACAAACAAACATCCCTTTTCTTACTATGGGTCCAGTTTGACTGAACCAAGAAGTGTGTGACAGGGAGGCTGGAAAGGTGGGTTGAAGGTAGGTTTGAAAGGGCTTTACATGCAAATAAAGGCACTTATATTAGATCTTAAAGGCAATGGGGAGCCACTGCAGTTGATTAGGAATATCATTTTGGTAATTACGTGGAAAAACTCTGAGTTCAGAGGTCAGTCCTTTCCTGAAGATTGTTCTCATCCCCTTAGCTGTTCTGATTTTTCTTTCCTCAGATATCTCATATAACAATGATCAGACCTTTCCTATTTGCTTATTTTGTAGCTGGTTTTATATTTATCTGTATATTTGTCTTGCCTCTCTACTGTATAGTGATTATAGTTTTGTTTATGACTTGGTTAGTCTTAGTGTCTCCAGTACTTTACATAGTGTGATGCATTTTAAAAACTATTTGATAAATTGATTTATTCACCATTCTCTTTTTTGATCTGCTGCCTTAAAAGACTTATGGCCTCCCTTAATAAGTGGCTTATCTCCTGTTTAAAGGACAGCCACTGCTGAGGCTGTTACGTAGTAGGAATTCTTTTTCGGGTATGGGCCGCAGTAGATGGCTGCTATGGTCCCTTCCATTTCTGAAATGCCCTGACTCTGAGCGATGGCCTTAGAATAAGGAGGACCTGGGTTCCGCTTTTGACTCGGCCACTTGGTAGTTCTGTGAGCCTGGGTGAATAACGGAGCCTCTTTTGCTTAGAATTCCACATCTGGAATGTGGAGTGAGACTGTCAGGAACCCTCATCTGCACAGTGGTGCTTGTGACATTCCAGTGAAACAGTGTATGTCGAATACTCAGAAAACTAAATGTGAGTTACTATTAGGAGAGAGCACAAGGTGTGCTCTCGAGAGCATGGGGTATGGAGTCAGGTGGCAGCTGGGATATGGAGCCTGAATGAGACCGTCTGCCCCTGGCCATGTGACTTCATCTTTGTTTCAGTGCCATCATCCGTAAAATGAAGATAATCATCCCTATAACATTTATCACGCCAGTTTTTTCTGTTATCAAATGAAATAATGGATGTAAAGCACTTTGTCAACCTTAGAGCACTGTTTGACATCAGCTTTCAATTATTACTTATAGTGCTGGATGCATTCCTAGAGATGTTATGATTTCGTTTAACTAGCAACAGCAATTTTTGTTTAAGTTTTGGTTGATGCATTTTGACTTTATGCTATCTTGATTTTCAAATATATCTCTACCACCCTTCTTCTACAGAGAGCCATCCCTTGTGAAAAAGAGCGGGACTAGCCACCATATCAGTACTGGCATAATGAGGCTTTCTTTCTTGGATCTGTTCTGAGACTTAAGTCTCAGGAAGCTCAGGCCTCTTGTCTAAACCGTATTATAGGTTGGAGTAATCTTGTGAAACTTTTTATTTGTTTTATGGTGATAGTGAAGCTTCTCTGCTTAAAAGTTACTGCAGTTAAAAGAAAACACACACACACACACACACACACACACACACACACTCTGAAATCGTTTGAGTTGAGTAACCTTAAATGGATTGACTTAAAGCACTTTATCTAGTGGGTGTTCTTTTCTTAACAGTGAGTGATCTAACACATGTTCATTTTTATAATTGGAAGTAAAATGCACAAGAGGGTTTTCTGTTTTCCATCTTTTGAATGGCAGTTACTTTAAAAGAATTGTTTGCACCAAGGGTGAATATCCTAGATTAAAACATTCTGATAGAACTGTGGTCTATAAAATTGTATAGTTTGATATCAAGGACTTTTAAATTTTTGGTTACTTTTCATTGAATTGTAAGACTGGTAACATACTTTAATTGAAGAAAATATTGTAGTGGACTATATTTTCAGTGAAGTTTAATAATTAAACTTCTTTTTTGGGGGGGAATGATAATGTCTTACCCCTGCCTGTAAAGGGTTATTTAATTCCTCTAGTGAAAAGTGAAGCTTATTACACACAGAGTAGAGCATCTTTTTTTCTTCTCTTTTCTACACTTGCATTGACCAAAGATAGCATTGCTAGCTATAGCTTGCATCCTGAACAAGGACAGGGTCTGAGCTGACACCATCATGTTGTTATTATCTTACTTAGGATTATAGATTTCGAGGTGGAAGGGACCTTGGAAGCCTCTCATTTTACAGAGGACAACACTGGGAACAAGGGAGGGGAAGTGATGTTCCCCAGGTCCCACAGTTAGTAAGCTTTGGAGACAGGATTTGAACCTAGGACTCCTAATTCAAGAGTCAAGGTTCCTTCTAGTGCCCTCACGCTGCCTCTTCTGGTACATTTGCTCCCAGTGTGCAAACTGCTCCCAAGCAGAAGAATTGCCTGGGGCACCAGCAAGTGACATGACTTCCTCCTTAAAACAACCAGTATGTGTCTGAGGTGGGATTTGAACACAGGTCTTATTGTCTCTGAGATCCACTATACCATGCTGCTTTACATTTCTATGTGTACAATATCTGTTCAACAGAAATTATAATGTGTATATATACATATTTATGTATGTATAACATTTTTGTTTCACAGAATTTAGAAAAGAAAGCTTTTTTTATCTCTAGTCATTATTATGTCAAAACACATTTTATCTTTTTAGGTTTGTTTTTAATATCAATTTTAGCCAGAATGTCTTCAAAACGTTAGCAAAGTAAGTCAATTTAAAGATTTTTTGATATTATCGTGTGACCCTGGGCAAGGTTGCCTTGCCAAAAAAACAAAAGAAAGTATCACTTAGTTTAGAATAAATTATTTTATTTCCAAAGATGGGAGACTTAGCTTCCTAGTGACAAATTGACTTATGCCTTCTTTAGTGTTGCTTCAGTCACATTAACCATTTGGGGATGTTCATACTTTGAGTGTGTAGTATTTTGTTAAGCATCAGTTTTTCTAAGAACTAGAATGAAAAAACTAGCAAATATAGCCCTATAAATACTAAAATTTGTGACCTGATTAAAGACTATATCCTCTTTTAAGAGGAGAGTAGATTAATAACTTTACTTGACTTTATTCATTCAGATGGATCAGGAAAAAACTGAGCAGAAAGGACCTTTCTGGCAGTACTAGGGCTGGAAGACAAAGGTTGCAAGTTGGAATGTCCTGGATATTCTGACAAGGTTACTGCTCATAGAATAAAGACAAATTCCAAGTTTTTATTTTAAGTGTAGGGTGGAAGGTGATGATGTGATGTTGAGCCATTTCTGAAATGACTTGGGAAGTAAAGCAATTTTTTTTTTTTTTGGTGAGGCAGTTGGGGTTAAGTGACTTGCCTCGAGTCACACAGCCAGTGAGTGTTATGTATCTGAAGGCAGATTTGAACTCGGATCCTCCTAACTCCAGGGCCAGTGCTCTATCCTCAGCGCCACCTAGCTTCCCCAGTAAAGCAATTCTTAAAGAGATTGCTGAAAAATTGGGGCGGGGGAGGGGAGGAAGCCGCACATTTATTGGGGTGTTGGGGTAGCAGAGGCAAAGATGAACTTATCTTTGAGACAATGAGTATAATTTTTTTTATAATATTGAAGTAATGATACTACTTTTCTTAGTATTTCTAAAAAGAAAGAATGATGCTTTCATGGAGCAGTTAAAACACCAGTTCATCTATCTCAGCTGACCAATCATTGAATTCAAAGCATCATTTAATCTGCAGTTGTCGTGTGAGGGAAGTGTGATTTCAAACAGATAATTCCAAGATGGAGTTTTTGGAACAGGGAGTACCTCTAATGCTTCAGACTCAAGTAATCATGTCTCTTGCTAACCCATTGCCTCAAGAGAACGCCTGTTGCTTAGTGCCAAAATACCGAATCAGAAGAAAATAAAGAAATCTCAAATATTAGAGGCATAATATTAAGTTGTGTTGATTATTGGAAAGAGAAGCACGTAGCCATAAAGAAAATTGCACACAAAACATCTAGTCAGGCTGCATTGGTATGAGGTTTCTCTCTAACGTGAATGCCATTAGATAGCAGCTTCCAAGTGGAAAATGGGGTACTTGCAAGGAGGGTGACAGCTCTTGGCCAAGTTCTTGCTGCATCCCAAGATGAAGCCAGTTCTAGCTCCCAGAATATCACCCTCATTGAGCACTTAGAGATTGACTAACTTTGGTTGCCTTTGGGCACCTAGTAGACTGATACAGAGCATGACAAGAAAAATTCTTATTTTAGCAATTAGTTTAACTTCTTCCTCCCATCAAACTTTTTATCAGAGCTTCCAACAAGCATTTATCAGCATGAGTATCGAATCACTTTGTTTTCATCTCTTGCTCTTGACCCATAACGTAACTACAATAGGAAAAGTAAACGGAAAAATGAGCATCTAAAAGATTCACTAATTGGGTTTATATCCCTGAATAATTGAGAGTTAACGATAAATACTTTAATGCAGTTTAGCCTTAAGAAATGGCATCACCCAGCTCTGAAGTATAGATTTTTTTTTTTGCATGACAGTCATAAAAATAACCAGAAGTTTTTATTGTAGGTAGACGTGAAATTCTTCTTCCTTCTTGTCCCATAGGCATGCATATCATTCTGTTTCAACACCCTCTGGGCACCCTTCCAAAAGTGTTGCTGATGTGAAACAACAGCCAGCAGCGTCATCTCTCCAGAGTTCTGACGCCGTTGTCATCCATCCTGGAGCCATGCTTGCCATGCTGGACCTCTTATCCTCTGTTGGCTCAACGTCGCAGCCAGAAGTAAGCATGTGTCTTCATGTATTTAATGAATGAGGCGGAGTGGGTGTTGAGGGTTAGGGGTGGCAGGTGAAGTGGAAAGTGGCAAGAGGGTAATCAGTCAGTCGACAAGCATTTATTAATCACCATCTTTCCTGTTTGCCTTTCTAAGGTAATGCTTATGCTGTGTGCCTGATAGTCCTGTGGGTTGAGAGATAGATAACCATGGAAGTAAACGGCAGGCATTTTTTCATGCACATAAGATGGATCCACATGCGACATTTATGTACTTGCTGGCTAGTTTTTTTCTTAGCACACCAGGCAGAATATTCATGGAGACTCTTCTTTCTTATACTCCACAGATTTTTGCTTTCCATGTAATGAGATATTTTCCAAGATGAAATCTTTGTCGTGCTTTCATTGTCTGCGTTTTGTTATGCTTCTGCCTTCTTTTGTATGGAGAATAATCCATCGTCTTATCATTATCACACATATTGTTTATTAGTAGTTTTTTATTTTTCTTAACTCCTCCCATAAGGAAATGAGTAGGAGGCTTCTTAAATTTTGGTGTTTTTGTTCCTTTGCTTTAAAGAAAAGACGTTTTCTCAAGTGTGCCATAATTAGCAATTTTGTGGATAATATCAAAATATTTATGACAAATATTATCCCTGACAGTTGTGTTTTATAAGACCATTCTACTTTTCTCAAATATAGCATAGATCTTTGTACTCCCAACTGTGAATTACTCTGGGCACTACCAGTAATTGTGGAAGCTTCTTGTAAATCCTACTTAGTAGTAAATAGAATCAAAAAGAAATGTGATGAGTATATTACCCCAGACTAATTCTATTTTTCTCTTTTGTTTATATGGACCTTGAGATATTGCTCATATTTTGAGATATCAGTGTAACAGTGAACTGGCATTGACCTAAAAGGTCTGGGCCACTGTTTCTCAGTGAAGGTGTCTAAGTTCTGAGCTATGCACTGAGTAGACTCACTTCTAGGAGAGCCTTTCCTCTAATAAAAAAAAAAAAAGGAGAGTGGGCTATTTTCTCATACCGTCTGTCTATATTCTCCCACCTCAGAACTCTGGAGATAATAATTTAAGACTTAGATCAGGCTCAGTTTTAGGGGCTCCCCAAAAGGGAATGGAAAGGCATTTAGTGTACAGTATTGATAAGGTAAGAATGGCTATTCACAAGAAATGGTTAAAACACAGAAGACTTCATAAGTGCACATTGATAAAGACTCAAAATATGACAAAGTAATCTAGACTCCTATTATATTCTGACGGGGGGTTAGTAATTCAAACATTAAAATGGGGAATGTAGTGGGAACTGTTAGATATGCATTTCACCATCACCTTGACTCTACTGTCCACACAGCTCCCTTGAGGCCAGGACTTGGGCTCATCTTCTTTTTGTTGATCATCTTCTCTGATACACATACTCAAGGGCCTGTGAGGAATACCTCCTAGGGTGTAGTCTGCACCAGCTGAGGGAGCCAGGAGTTCACAGCTACTTATACTCAACTTTGGAAATGTTCATCTCAGTATCACTATTTGGTTAGCTAGGCTTAAGGGAAAACACACACACACACACACACACACACACACACACACACACACACACACGACATATGCTATGGCTGCCATAAGGAAAGAAAGTAACTCTTCCTCTCTTTCCCCTTCTCCCTCTAGGAGAGAGAGAGAGAGAGAGAGAGAGAGTCTTATGCCACATGTTCTGAGAGACGGGAAGAAGAGAATTTTAAAATCCATAGAGTGGGTGGCTCTTGCTGGCCTTGGCAGTCAGTAAGGTGATTGCTTTGTAACACTTGTCCTTCAGCATAGGATCACATGTGTCCCCAAGAGGGTTGGAGGAGTTCAGTGTGATGTTTGCTCCGTAAGTTGTGATATAGTCAGAGCAGATAGGGTGGGGCACCCTATTGTGCCTCCGAAGTAATAGCTTACATTTATACAACATTTTCTGGTGTTTGAGCTGAGTCTTAAAGGAAACTAGGGATTGTAAGAGGCAGAGGTAAAGATGGAATGCATACTGTCATAGGGAGCTAGCAAGTATACAGTGATGAAAGTGTGAATCATAGTGAGTATGAAGGGGACAGTACTGTGTATCTAGGCTGAGAAAGTAGGTTGTGAAGGGCCTTAGGAGCCAGAGAGGAATTTATATTTGCTTCAGAGTTAATAGAGAACGGCTGAAGTTTATTGAATAAGGGAGTGAAATTGTTCTCTCCTTCAGGAATCATGTTGGCAGCCGTGACGGACGGTTGAATGGCTGTCACTTATCCTGTCAGGTGACTAATTCTCATATTTATTTTTAACAGCCTGAATACTTGAACCATCCAGGGATTTGCTTGGATATTTTCGTTCTAATCAATACAATATTAGCCTCTTTCTCATTAATTCTTTTAATTAGCTCAAGCCCCCAGCCCAATTTATCAAATACTATTTATTTATAAACTGGAAAAAGCCTCTTTTCCCAATTCTATGTGTGGAGGTTACTCAAATACAATTTTGTACAAATTAAAACCAGTATTAAAGCAAATATATATTTATTTATAGTATTCTCTCTTTGAGGAAGATCATGGCCAGAGCTACCATTAAACCCTCACTATAATGGTAATTGACTCATTTCAGATAATGGTTAAAATTTCTTAAGAATCTTCTATATATTTCTCCTTATACATATCTTCTATGTATTTCTCCTCAAGATGCAAGTTAAATTTAGTCTCTCAGTTAAAAAGCTAGGTTAGTACTTTTTCTTACTTCTTTTTTGAGTAAACATTGGAAAGTCTTTCAGTATGCACTTTTTTTTTTGCCAGCTCCTCATAGACTCTTCAGAGTTATCTTTATAACATAATTATTAAGATAGTTCTAACCAAGAAGATCATCCTCACATTCTTCTCCTCTGTCTTTTCTGCAGGCTCCTTATAAATCCTCCTAGATTAACAGTGAAATACAAATTCTTTCTAAATCCATAGGGAGAAGCAAGACAATTTAAACTCTTCAGACTGCTACTGCCATCCTCACCGAGATACGCTAACAGTATTTATAGTGTCTGCAGAAAAGCCTAGTGAAAGAAGTTTATATATATATGTGTGTGTATGTATGTATGAATGTATGTTATGTGTGTATAATATATATGTATATGTGTGTGTGTGTATATATATGTATGTATATATACGCATATATGTTGTATCCCTTATAATAAAGTTAAACTTCTTGAGATCAGGGACTGTTTCATTTGTATTTGTATTCCCAGCACCTGTCATGGTGCTGGGTACATAGTAGACCCTTACTAAGTGTTTGTTAATTGATTGACTCTAACCCTCAAGGGTCCTGTGGTGACAGATAAAAATTATTCTTTCTCAAGAGGAAGATTAGGACAGTCATCTGAGTCACTAAATACTAATTGGTGCTCCAAACTTAACTGAACTTATAACGAGCATCAGTTTCTTTCCTTGGCCCCTAGATGGTGGGAGATAGTACATAGTCCAAACAAACTCTATATATCAAGCCTAGGTTTGTCTCATGGTCTTAATCCTGTGTGAAGTCCTTGTAGTAAGGGGCTTTGTAGAAGAGGCTGGGGTCCTAGTTAGAGTCCTAAGGGTGAGAGGTTCAGTGGCATTGTGTTTTTTCTTATATGGTTCAGTAGTTCTGTGGATTAGACAGGGCCTCCACATGTGGCAGTAGATCCAGGTTTCAAAATCCAGATCCTGACCACTCTGTGGTTAAGTAAGAACAGCAAAAACAACAACAATAATAACTGACTTAAGTAAGACTTTAACATTTGCAAACTGTGGGGTAAATACTATATTTCAGATATAGAAAGTGAGGCAAAGATGTAGAGTACTTGTAAAGACTTGCCCAAGGTAACCCTTATTAAAAGCAGGATTTGAACCCCAATCTTTCTGACCCCAACTCCTGCTCTCTGTGTACGATGCCACACTTCCTGGTTGAGACACTATAAGGCAGCATAAATGTAGCCTCCATAAGGTTATGGAGTGAGTCAGCTTTCAAAAATCTGCCCCCACAACAGAGAAAGAATAGGTAGGTGCTGGAGCAGAAGCATATGTCTCAAGGGTGGCCTTTATATTTGGTGGTAGGCGGAGGACTTCAGTGTTCTAGAGACCTGGGGCATCATGGTTACTGATGAAATTCTCGTTTTCATTCAAGACTGTGCCAAAACTTGGCCAAAAATAAATCCAAGTGAGCCTATAAGAACTAGGCATTTTCTAAAGACGGTGTTTTGTATTGCTGTTGTTGTCTTAAACTTCTAGTACTCCTTGGAACTCCTGTCTCCGTTGAATGATGAACTCTGATAAATAGGTTGATATACTGAGAAGCATAATTGTTTTAGAGTTACAGGAATTCTAAAGGAAATTAACTGCTTTAACATTTAACATTTTGACATTTAACCATTCCACACATCATGAAAGGCTAAGAAATTTACCCAAGATTGTGATAAGAATGTTTTAAAGGCCTTGGAAATTGCCTGGTTTCGCTTCATTGAAAGCCTGCGAGTGATAATCAAGGCTAGACAGGACTTGGAAAAATGGGCAGCTCTTCAAAGGTAGTGTACTTTTAACACGCGTGTACGTGTGTGTGTTTTAGGAAGAATAAAAGAATATATGCCAAAGTTGAACCCTGTCTGGGAGGCGAATTGTTAAGGGACGCAGATGAAAATAGACCATTTTTATTACTCTTTCTAAAGCACGACACCCATGGATCTATGTTCTCACTGTTTCATGAGTTCTCTCCAGTAATTTGAATCACAAGCTTTCCATTCCTGCTCATCTTGTGTGACTTTTATCCATGTTCATCCAAAAATTTGCTATAGGGATTCACCTCATATGCCAAAGACCTTTATCTCTTTCTTCTGTTGAGAGCTCTCTGGCTATCCATCCACCTGTCAACCTGTTATTTTTGGTAATTTTGATTACCTAAAATTGAAAAACTTTTGAAAAAAAATAATGCAACTGGGATAAGGACAAGTAAATTGTTGACT